CTGTGATTTCAAATGACAAAGGATTTACCAAAGTGAGGAAAAAAAACCTACTTAGACATAAGGACAATGGCTGACAACGAACATGGTGGAACAGCCTTTTGAATTGAAATAGTGGTTTAAAGAAACCTAAAATGGTAAGAAATAGATTTTGTTAAGTTTCTGAAAGAGCTTATGTGTTAATTACCCGCAGTAAGAGCAACTGGACTCAATAATCAAAAAGGACCTTCTAGTTGTTCCTTCATTACTGAAGGTCTTGTTCATTCAGATTGAAGCTACTGGCCAGCTCTGAAAGAAACAATTGAGTTTCTTGTTGAATTGTTTATTTTTGCTTCTAAAAACTTTTTACGAGGAAAAAAAGCTCCAAAGCCAACACTATTTTAAGATTATTTTTTAATAAGTACTGAGAATAACAACTGATTTCCAGTATCAGAAGAAAAAAACAAGATGAAACAAAGATTCCTAAGTACCCACCTGGTACACAACTCTTGCTTTTGCTGTCACAAGCCTAACTGCACATTTGAGAAAATCTTGGAAGACTGGCACTTTTTGTTTGTTTGTTTGAAGAATGATTAATACAACTGGTGATATATCACCTTAAAAATCCTTTTGATTTCAGGATGATTTTTTTTCTCCAAGGACACTATTTCCTTTCAGCATTTTCTAATAAATATCTGAGAGTATACCTGACAGGCAGCCAGATAAAGGGGGGCTGTCATATCACTTCTCCTCAATAGGAAGCCCATTTATATGAAACACTCCTACAGTGTGACTGTGTATGTTGCAAGAAAGGGTTGGAGGAAGATGACCTATGCTTTTGATTTATATCTACAGGGGTTCTGGCATCTTGCTGGACACTTGTTGCGGTTAAATAATTATTAAATTGACAATATTCCAGGAAAAACAAAACATATATCCAATTTTACTGTGAAAATCATGCAAAAGAGCTAAGGATGCTGTTCGTATTTGATTTTCTTGGACTGCACAATGTGCTGAAATCACTGAATGTCAGATGTACTACGACAACCAAATGCTTGGAGGCTAGAAGTATTCTGTCACTGTCATGCTGTGGATAATTTATGCCAGTATTCCTCCGGCACGTCAGAGCAGCAGGACATAGCGGATATTATTCTCTTGCCTTAGTGTAAAATGGACTTCAAGGCAACTCGGTGATAGCGCAGTGATGGGATCCTAGTTATTAAACCCTGGCAGCACTGTGAGGGCTACACACAGAGTATTAACTTTCTTATTGCTCCAAATCCCCCACTGCTGCCTGTCCTTTCACTGCAGGGATATATCATAAAAGTGAGTGCTGATTTGGAGAGGGAGAAAGCAGGCTAAAAGAATGGAGAAGCATCTCAACTTTATTTCAAAAGATGATCTTCTCTCTCATATCCAAGCAAGAGTTGAGTTCTGCAGCGGACTCAGACATGCCTCTCATGGTCATGTTTTTTATCTGAAGCTTTTACTTTGCTGGCCATCTGAAGGAGCTGTCTGCATGGGCTAAAGCATGGGAGGATTTGTGCTTTCTAAGCCTGACAGAAAGTCTGCTAGACCAGATGTGGGCAAGGGAATGTATACAAAGAATTTCTAAGAGAGCATGTGATTTATTCAAGTACATGTAAGGTCCAATTTTGTCCCTGGATTTTAAGACCTGGTCCAAAGCCCACTGAGTCCAGGAAAATTCTCTGGGCTTTAACACATTTTAATAACTGGAGACTTCACTTTAAATATTAACAACATGTCTCTAAATAAAATGAATTTTATGATCTTTGTTCATAGGCTGATGAATAATAACAAAACTGATATAAGATTTGGCCTGAGCAAATATGCAGGTCTATTTACAGATCTGAAAAGGAAACCTCGCACAGCACCTGCCCACACATAATTCTGGCTCCTGGCACTACTTTAAGGAGGATTGAATTCCTTCCCACCCACACATCTTTACATAAGTAAAAGCTTAAACATCAATTCAGACTAAACATTTTTGAATGCACAATCCCTTGAGTGCCATAAAAAGAAACAGTGGTGTAAATGAAACTTTAATTTTCCAGCATGCTCAATAACTGATGTGCTAAAAACTTAGATTTTAAACAGTGCATAGCTTATTTAAAGTTATTGATTTCCACTTCCAGTAAATTGCTGTGTTCCAGCAGCATATTGTGTTTCTACCGGAGGCTGAGACCAACTGGAAGAACCTGGTCTCTGTGCTGAATGGTTGACAAAAGGTGACATGTAATATGACTTCTAACTTGCAGTGTGAAGAAGGGCACCTTGGAGCAGAATTTCCTATCCTCAGGTGAGCCCAATGGTTTCCTTTCTCCAGGCAGATGCTTTCTGTGAAAACATCTTCTGTGAAGTCTTTATGAAAGGCAGGACATTGGTGTCACTGAGCAATGTAATTATGTACAATTTCTATAGAGACTGACAGCATCATCTACCGATTTTTAGGAGCCCGTTGATTAAGAGATTAAAAATCACTATGCAGGAGCTTTAATGGAAGGGAAAAATAGATCTTAGCCACTATCACGGATGTCCAGCCTGGTGTACAAAGAAAGATAATGCAACAGTCTCTGGTCATATCTAATGATAATGAGGGTCTACCAAAGAAGCCTCTAGCAGTGAAAGGTTTAAAAAAAAAATAAATCAATTCCATTGTCTCAACATAACTTCAGGATAATTTTTTAACAGTCAAATTGGGGTTTGAGCTTGCACCAGTGTTCAAAAGTCAAAAAGCTGATAGTTTTGCCCTTCCCTTCTGGCTCCACCTGATCTTTTGCAGGACAACAGCAGTCTGTCATCTCTTTCACAAATTATGATCTCGTAGTGTCTTAAAATAACATCACTCATAGCCTATATTTGGATAACAGAAGACAAAAAGAAGCCTGGAACATTTTCCAGCTGATCTCAAAGTGGTACCAACACCAGAAATGGAGGCACAGACCACCACTGCCTGACAGCATCAATAGGATTACAGGAAAAGTGGCCAAAATGAGCTTCCACCACTACAGAAAACAAACACAGCTCAGCTTCATAACTTCACCGAGATGGAAGTGCCTGCAGTGTTACTCTCAGGTCAGAGGGAAGGGCCATGTCCAAACTCCACTTTGCCAGACTCAGCATAGCAAGAACATGCCCCATATCAACCATCTCTAATTCTGTCAATTTCTACATTAATTAATCACTTTATCTCAGAGAACTATTTTTGTTATTTTGAAATCCAAACTGAATATAACTCCTGCAAAACAGCGGTGACCTACTGGACCAAATTCATACTTCACAACATTTTGTTCAGTGAAGCAGCACCAACTTCAAGGGAATTTTCACGTCAGTATATGAGAAAGGAAATGTAGGTCAGTTGTCTTTAGAACAACAATTTGACTCTTCAGAGGCAATTTATTAAACTGAACCTACACAAATATGAAAGAATAAGGAACTCAATTGGCTTGAGTTTATGAAGCTCGCACCTACAGTCTACATTTCAAATTCATGTGTACTTTGCATAATTTTCCTCCTTCTCATCAACAACTTGCCTTGTAATTTATGCTACATGCATCTTGAATTAAAGAAAAAAAAATCATTTTCAGGCACTGTTAACCATGAAATGGATTCTCAAGGTTTCCCTGCATATTAATAAGACCACTTTTGCATCCACTCAAATCTGTGCATAATGATTTTCTAACATTCATTTTACTTGAATTCTGAAACAATATGTATGGCTCTCAAAATGGATGTTTCTAGCACAAACATTCCCTTTCTATAATGGTTTGAGAATACTTCTTTACATTACATAGAATTGAAATTTAAAAAAGAAAGAAATCTTGTTCCAGGTCACAAATCAGCAGCTGGCAGCACTTAGAAACAAAATATGGTTAAGATATTTTATATAATATCCCTTTTTATTTTTAATTTGTTCAGCAGTATCTAGTATTATTCACTTTCAAAAGGATGGCCAAAAGTTTGATCTGATAAGTTAGTACTTATCTTCACAAGTTGTTATTGGCTTATGAAATAGGGAAGCTGCTTAAACATCTGGGCAGAGATGCAAAAACAGAGTAACGCATTAAAATGAAGAAGAATGCTTTCAGTTTTTTGGAGTCTTCTGCCTCCATCATGAGAAGACAGACTGCTAATCTGTAAACTGCACATGTACTTCATGCCTCAGACAAATGAATGAAGACCTCCTCAGTACAGCTTTAGATTGTCCTTATCAATACATACACTTTTCCACAAATTAATAAAAAGATGGATAATTCATCAGTATTAAGGCTAAGACTATGTTAACCCTTCAACAGGATAGACCATTATTTGCATATGCTTCTCTGAAAAAAAAAAAAAAAAATGTTGCAAATGTTTTCTTCAAATCTAAAATAGTAACAGAGCGGTAACAGAGGAGAATTAAAACTTGTTTATAGTTTACTGTTTAATAAGACAGCTGCTCCCAACTGCAGGAATTGAATTTGCAGACAGTAAACATATAAACATCACTAAGAACTTAAACTGCTGCTTGTTCTGCAGGGAATTTCTTACCAAGAGACCAAGCACAGAAGGGCACCAAGGACTTTATGAAAAAAAGAAGCATTCTTTCTGGACTTTAAAACTCTACACTTCTTAATTCATGAATGTTCTCATAAGACTTGATCCAGGAAAAGCTGGTCCTTAAAATCATAAGAAACTGGCTAGGACCCATAATCTCCACAAGACAGGCCAATCTCTGAATACAGCATTAAGTTGCTTGGGCTTTTGTGCTCTAATTCTGAAAACTGCCAAGGACTGCAATTCCACAGCTCTTGCAGGTGACCTATTCTTTGGTTTATTTCACCACAGGGGATTTTTTGCCTTCTCTTCGGCAAGTTGATCCCAATTTCCTCAACCAGAGTGGAGCTGAGAGGAATAATCATTTCCTTGGACACACAGGCTCCTTCCCTTTGTAAGCATTTCTGCTAGTGCTTACCACTAAAATATTCTCTCATATATATTTATGTACTTAAATTAACACTCACCAGCCACTGCTGAGGTATTTCTGGCAGAGGCATTTGAGGAGGTGCTGGCAAACTGTTGGCAACTTCTGTTTTCTGCACATGTTCTTTTATTTCAAAACCTGTGGAAGAGCAAAACATGTCACTTAATGCTTAGGTGGATACACATTTTTTTCTACATGAGGACACTACCATCACACACTGGAATCTGACATGTAGTCCTGCTCACAACCTACTTCCTAAACCTGTTTACTGAGGAAGAACTGGAAGAATGGTAGGAATTCAGGAATTTAATCAAGCAGAACAAGCACATACTTACTATATACGATAATGACATATATGATATTTGGATTAACAAATACCAGACAGAGAAAAAATTTACAGGAAATCGTGCTGAACTGCCTACCCATCTGGAACTGAAAGACATAAAATTCAAACAATTTGCCTGGCATCTATTACAGAGATAAAACCATTGATGAGGGGAAGATAGCATTCTTGTGAATGTCTGAATGGCAACATGGAGCAAATTAAACAGGGTCTCCGCCCTCCCTGGGGAAAGAGGAGTGACCTACTACTTCCATGTTTTCTTGGCATAACCATTTAAATCCCAGTCAAACACACTTCATGGTATTGTTTATTTTTCTAAAAATCAAAAGCAAGATTAGGGTGCATCTCAATGCTCTGACAAAAAAATCAGTCAATGGGATGGATGTACCCTGTGCACACCTAGACTGAATTTAGCTCCTCATGTTTAGTTAAGTTGGTCAAGATCACATAATTTTCAAAAATATAATCAATGATGAAATGTTTCTAGTCATAATAACCCAGTCCATTGTCTGTGAAGTCCTGGATTGAAAATCAACACTGATAAAATAAACTGCCTCTAAGGGCCATAGAATCTTCTTTCTTCCTACAAAAGAAGAGGTGATTAGTCTTGAGAAACATTCCTCTTTTTTTTTTTTTTTTGATATATCTTTCATTTGTTATTCTTTATGTAGGATCAATTCATTCTATGACTGCTATCCATATCCAAGTCCACCATACAACCAAAAGTCAAATATGAAGTACATTTTACTGGGGAGAAAAAAAAAAAAAAATGTTTTTTAAGTGGGTTCTACTACTTCTGTAAATCTAGTTTCTCCCCAAAACTATGTTTGGTGAAGCATGAACCTGCTCTTCTAATACTTGTATTCTTCTACCAAACTACACAACAAAGTCAGCATTATAGATTTATAACAGCAAGACCCTTTAAGGAAAACAGGCAACAGTGATGGTCATATTAAATGACTGAATCTATTAACAGTTCTTACTCCAAAATAAACTATTTGTGTCTTTGCCTTTTAGAAGTCTGAGTTTCAGAAGGAAAAGCCAAGTGTTTTCTCCAGGCCTACAGTACATTGGGCATACCAAGATTCAGGAAGAAAAACAAAGTTTATAGTTTTGCCAGCTCATCAGAGTAACCACTGATTTGGACATGGTGCAGGCTAAGGTCCAGCAACCTGAAGAATATATCTGACTGGCCCAGTACGCTCTGGTTGGTGGACATGAAGTGAAGATAATGGTGTGCAGTTAGGAGATACATAACACAAGGCAAAAGATTTCTGAAGAACTCCACAAGTAAGAACTCACTGAAAAGAAAGCTACAGTTTAAAGTGTTTTACCAAAATCGAACTTTATAATCATTTCCACACCTTTACAAAGAAAAACTTAATTGTTAACTTCCAGATGTTAGAAAGAATCCAGGCAGTTCCCAGCTGCACTGATCCTTCATTGCCTTTCCCTGTTGTTCTTAAGTGGTTTGCTTCAGCAATTGAAATACACTGTTGGATTCAGGCAGTTGATTTTTGCAAATGCCTATAAAGAGTCTGAACTCAGCACAGACCTCAGGCCTGTGAAACCATGCCAGCGATCTGAGAGCTCTCATGGAGTTATGTGGGTGGAGTAAAGCAACATCTTGAAAAACAGACTCGGAATGACAGTTTAGCTCAGTTACAGAGTACTGAGGGTTTATGTGCCTTTTACTGCTTTTAATTTTAATGAAGAGATGAATAGTTTCAAAGGAATGGGAGTACTGAATGTTACAGTTGATAAAAAAAGCAGCAGGGTCATCTCCGTTGATGTGCATGACTCCCTCTGTAGTTTCAAACACTCTTTAAGCCGGAATGAATGGCTGAGCTCCCAAGGAGGCAGCACCGCTCCTTCCTTGCCTTGTTCCTGTCCCTGCACCAACCTCTCCTTTGTGCCAGCGTAAGCATGTGTGTGGCCTCAGGTTGAACCAGAGCAGTGAACTGACACTGGTTAGGAATAAACCAGAAAGAAAAAAAAAAAAAAAAAAAAAAAAAAAAAAAAGCAAATAATGCTTGTGCTAGCAGAAAGGAAGCTGCAGTACACGATGAGCAAGAATGAGTAGCCTGGGGAGAGAAATAAGATGCTGTTTTTAGAGGCCATGCTGGCTTAAACTCTATTTAAATTGTAGCTCCATAAACTACAGTTTATAGATGTATAAAGTACAGTCCTATGACCTCTTGCTTAACTGAGCTATAGGACTTCCTTGAATTAATTCTTGTTTGAACTAGAGCATATCTTTTAGCAAAATATTCCGTCTTGATAAAATGCCAACAATGGCATGCAGACACTAAGTTCTTCCATTAGTTCATATCGTCAATGCTCAAAACATGTGCTTTATTTCCACTTTGAAATAAACATCCAGCAACTGCACACTGCTTTTTTGTTGTGTAAGTCTAAGAGCTCAATCTCAGCCGTCACTTTTCTACATCAAGATTAATTATGATACCTCCTTTAAGGATAATTTGAACACATATTTCTGGACTTTCTATCACTTTTATGACTTCCGTTTGACATGTCTAAATTGTATCTCCTTGAATACACGCAGTGGAAGTGGGTATAAAGTTCCAGTAACTGAACCAAGCTCTTCCACTTAATATATGGATCTTGTATGGATCTTGTTAATGGATTGTTACCGTATTATAACATGCAATGGATCTTGTTACAGATCCTGAAATAGGCTCTAAAACCTAAGATATAGGTGCTGAAAGGTGGAAAACTATGGGCCTTGGTTCTTTTTATCATCACCCACATCTATAGTCATAAATTAAGCATGTCTGAGAAGACGCTCTAATTCAGAGAAAGCCATATCCGTAAGTTTAAAATCTCTCACCCTCAAAGCCAGGGTGGATGGTGACAATTTTGAACTGTTTGTTAGGCATAGATCTTTGCCTGTGATAACTCCCAAATCACACCTAAGAACTGATAATGGAAGAACTGAATGGAAAATGAGTCAGTGCAGGCCAAACTCATGCCAAGTACCACTCCATAATTTCACAGTGTCAATGCTTGAGTTGCAGGGTCCAAAAATGTACCCAGCACTGTTTAATTTCCTATAACAATGTAATTTTATGTCCTGAAAAAACATCCACAATCCAGAACAAAAAGATATGACAATCTTTCTTTTCTGTGTTTGCACATTCACATTCTGTGAATGCTGACTTTTTGAGAAAGTCAATTTCTTTTTAATAAATCTAGTTGAAAAGATTAAAAGAAAAACATACACTGTCAGGTCAGTATTCTTGAAGTTATTTTGAACTGTAAAACATATCAAATTGCAAGTTCTTACCTACAGTTTTTTTGTTTTGAGAAGTGCAGGGTATTTTGATCAGCTTTTGGAGCACAAAGCGTCCTTCCACAACATGTGAAATTGTTACCTGCTTCCTTCTGCTATTAGTAAAGTAAAAAATAATGATGTGTCCTTAAGAATGTGAAAACAGAAGGAAGGACAATCATCATTTTACAGCTCTTAGACAGTTGCTCTTAGAATCATTATGGTTGAAAAAGACCTCCAAGATCACCTGGTCCAACTGTTTCCCTATCACCAAATATTACTCACAAAACCATCTTCCTAAGTGCCACATCTAAGCTGATCTCCTTGAACTTGAATCCTGTAGCAAGTGCGAATTTTTTACATTTCTTCACTGCATCAAAAAAACACCATATCTTTTTTAGCACTGCAAAAGAAAGCTAAGAAATGCAGCCACTTGCAAAATGGAATTTTTCTTCAAAACACCCTAGTATTTTTAAAAATCTAAACAACAGGGGTTTACAGCTACAGCATTTCTGTCAAATGCTGGAGAGACAGAGAGGTCTCATAGTTCTGATGCCTCCTTATACAAAATGAAATTTTGTAAGGAAATATAAAAGTACTGTTAGGAAAAATAGTGAGGAACATTCTTTGTAAAAGCACCGTTGAAAGGCTGATGTATATAGTCAACCATTCATGCTGCATTCAGTTCCATAATCTTGATGGAGATAAAAGCAATTGTGCAATCAAAATGGTTTTAGGAAGACAAAGGGAAAGTGAATATTACTCTACTTGCAAAATGCAAACCAAACATGTTGACAGCCATTTCCTAGTTCTGTCTTGGCACTCCTGTATCAGTCATGCACTGGAGTCCACTTCACAATCAAGCTCTTTGATGGATTTGGGTCATATGGCAGAGATGTAGCATGCAGCACTACGCGCAGTGCTGTGGCTGGCACTCCTTTACTTTTGCATCAAAACTAACAAATAGAATTGCTGCCACAAATAAAATGAAGTACCTTCAACAGAGATGAAAACATTCATCTATTGTGTTATTTTGTGGCTGGATTCACCCATGTGCAATGAAATTACTTCCTTTATGTCTTTTGCTATATTTTACTGTTGACTGTGAAGGAAAGCATTCAGGAAAATTCCATTTTGGATTCACCCTGTCTTTCTGTTTTGCTTCAATTTAGGGCTTACCCCTTAAAACAATTTCACTGAGCACAGACTTATTCTGTGCATTCTGCAAGCAAGAAAACACACCCGACACTGACCTTTTGATGACTGTATCCTCAGGAGAATGTTAGTTATTACTGCTTTCTTCTCCCTGACAGTCGAAGTTAGATATTCATGGTCCAGAAGTTCAAGAAACAGGCGCAGCTCAACTATTAACTCTTCCATGGCTGAAAGACAGTAATAAAATTACTTTTTGTGAGAAATCCCATTAGAAAGAAAAAAAAAAAAAAAAAGAGTTAATTGTCATTTATTCATATTCATAGTTATTTTCTACCAATTCTTGTAAGTGAACACACTTCCCTGCTGGAAATAGACTGCATTAACTAGCAAAACCAACAGACTAATTCATTAGTGAGCACTACTGGTGTATCTAGCAGTTACCTCAAAATTAATGAAGAAAAGACACTATCCTTTCACATACCACATCATCAAGCCAGTCCTGCACAGAAGTGCAGGAGTGGCAGCAATAAGTTTTTCTAGCAGTGCCCCTCTGGTTCCTCTCTTTTAACAAACAATTTCTAACTGTGCAACAAAATTTAAGCTTGATAAAACTTCCAGACACATTGATATTTTCCAAAATCTGTAGTGAGAGTCTCTACTTCCCTCACCTTATTTCTTCTGTTTGCAGTGGGAAAAAAAAAAAAAAAAGTCATTTTTTACAGTGACTCATATTCCTACCATTTTTCAAAGTCAAGCTCCCAACCTGTCACATAAGTTCTTATTACTCCCTAGATTCACTGAAAATATGCACTTCTTATTTCACCCTACTTCTGCTATTCCAGATCTCAAGGCTTTCCAATTCTTTGTACAAAAAAATCACATTCCTTCTCCATATTCACAATTTTTCTCATTTTTGTTATCAACAAACTTTATAAGTGAATTTTTACTTCCTTCCTTTAAAATTACCCCTGATGACTTGCATCGTCTTGATAGCTGTAGCAGCTCAGACCATACAACTAAACACATTTTTTATGGCTTAATCGTATGATACCTATTCAGCAGATTTATGAGAAGTCTATAGTATTTGGGCCCTAACATACAGTATTATAGTAAGTGCGTATTGGAACCACATTTTCATGCTCCAGCTCACTCATAACTCTGAGATTCCTTGGTCCCTTCACTTAAGTGGATTGTCTATTTTTATTTATGGTTTCATCTTGGATGGAATAGTTCACATTTCCATACTTCTTGTATCTGAGGATATTATCCTCATTAAAAGATGAGGGAAAACATTCATTTCATTTCAGGGCCGCACCTAGGATTAATCTCAGTTCTAACCTCATTCCAAAATGCCTCTACTTAAGTTTTTCTCTGCTTACTCACTTTTGTTTTTATAGTCTTTTCAGGGCCTAACAGGGCAACTGCTGGTAAGTCTCTTCAGACTTCTAAAAAGCACATTCTTTGCTGCTTACTCCCTTACCAGCTCTTCCCTACTCTTAAAGCCTTCTCTGATATGGTTGTTTACCCAAGTGAACCTGGAATCTGTTTCTTCAATTTCTGACAACATTTGGACTTTTAAATGGTCCTTGGTCTTGGTTTTATCTGATTCTTGAGAATAGGACTGTGCAGGGAAACCTGCAGATGTCTATTATACCCCTGCAAGAGGCTGTTGCTTCTTCTTGTCACCCATGAATGCAGATGACACTTTTTATTTACAGATGATTGTACCTCAGCGTACACTGGCAAAATCAACATACTCATAGAAGGCAACAGAAGACATGGCAGTTGGCAATACTAAGGTGTGATAATGTTTTAACAACAACCAGAAAATCACTTAACAAGAAGTACACTTGAGCAAATCTTTTCTGAAACACACTGTTAGTTTACACATACATATCCATCCTGATCAAGTTTTCTCTTGGTGAATATGTTCTTCTACAAAACAGACTACTGTCACTGCTATTATCTATTATATAAATAGTACACATTTACATGAAAAACATTTCTCAATGATTTTTACAAAGTCTTTTACACAGAGACCAAAAAAGCATATCCAAAATGATGGCATTAAACCTGTTTACATTACTTGACAATGTAGCTCATGAAAAAACATCCAGTGGTTATAGGTTTTTTATTTTTTTATTATTATTTTTTTTAACCATCATACTTGAAGCTGACTAGGGCTCTATCAGAAATCCAAAAGTATTTCAGGAGAACTACATTACTTCTAGCTGTTCACATTACAGAGGAACATACAGCTTTTCAAGCTAAAAGATTCAGAGCGATGATTTAAATCTGCTTTGCAGACCAGTAAGCAAGATCATAGACTCAAGAAAAACAAAGAAACAGGATCTACAACTTCAAAAAAATAAAAATTAAAATAAATAAATAAAAACAACCAACCACCACCACCAAACACAACTTACCAACTCTGTGTTGTGGTTTTCTTTCTTTTATTATTATTTTAGAAATAAGATGTATATTCTATTACTGGTAAACCAATGTGTAAACGAGTCTGGTTATGGTTGTCTTTTGCTTTTAGGTCTACTTTGATTATAAGATTTACTGCTATTATTGTTAGAAGCATTACTTTAAATTATCATGGAATATATGAATCTTTTAATATTTACTGATGTGATATTAATTTCAAAAGTAATCATTACCACAGAACCTAGGCAATCATTGTGAAATCTAATCAGTATACAGCACTAGAACTGTACTTTTTCAACTACTTTTATAGCCATATCAATTACTGTCAGTACATACCAGAATATATGTTCTTTAAAAAGGCATCTATGTTCTTTAAAAAGGCTTCAAGCATAGAAAATAGGGCAGCTTCAATTGCACATATTCAATAAAATTTACTTGAACTGGCATCTTTTCTGGATCCTTTAAGGCAAAAGACTGTAAATTACCTGAAAGAGAGCTCTCCTTTTTCCTCTTCCCCAGTGAATATAATGTACAAGAGGAATACTATTTCTTTACCTAGAACCTTGGCTTCTGGAAAGGAGGAATGAACAAGAGCAAATGCCAGTGTGCAGTGTGTGTAACTTTCTTCAGTTATTAAAAATTATCAGATCCTTGTAGTCGAGAGCTTATTATGTAATAGATAGCAAAATGAGAAACAAAAACAGACCAAGATGGTGTTACAAGGCAAAGACAAAAAGAAGCAAAAGAAGAGGAAAGAGGAAACTGCTGCTGGAGAGACGACTAGGAGCTGGTAGCTCAATAGAATAGGCATAGAATTGGCATAAAATAGAAATACTATCATGAAGTACATTTAGTGCATTTAAAATAAGGAGAATCTGCAAATTCTTCTTTTAAGATAGGCAAAAAAAAAAAATGTATGTAGTTGGGAAAAACATGTTTGTCTGTTTTCAACCCTTGGCTTGTTTTCTGTATTAAAGAATCTTTTCTTCTTCCTAGAAATGTAATGATGTGCTCACAAAAAGTAATAGAACTGAATAATAGAAAATCCACATAATGCATATTTTCAGTAAGCAATCATTACTTCTGAAATGGAGACTAAAAATGAGAGGGTGATGCAAGTCCCAAAGAAAAACATACTCCTCTAGTGAGAGATTACCCTTGGAAATCTGACATCACCACAAAATAAGAATAATATTCAGAAGGTTCTCCAAAAGGGGCAAATTTATTTGACAGTTCTGGCTGAATTCTCATTGTCAAAGAAATTACTTGTAAATGGCAGGTGGTGAAAGGCGGGGTGGAGCCCAGGGATGGTAATCACAACAGTAAGCAGATTTTATCTCGACTGAGGAGCAAAATCACATTCCATATTAAATGATGAGATGTCCATTCTATGCTCAATAGGACTAATAGGCCCCCAATGTGCTGATATAATTGGCATGTACAAATAAAAAGCAATGATACATCCAGAAGGGTTTCCAGGTCTGGCTCTCAGGAGTTTTAAAGTTTTTCAAATGACAGCACATAAAAACTATACACACAAGCCAGCAGAAGAATACACCAAGGTAAAAATAATGATAGAGAGGCAATTACATCATGCTGCAATTTTTGTTCCAAACCAAAACGAAAACCAACTGGAATTGAAACAACATAATGATGCAATTCAAAATCTGCATTAAAGGGTACTAGTTTATATCTTTTTTTTTTTTAAGAATATAAAATATTTTACTCAACTGATTAAAACATCTTTAGGAACAGTACAATACAAACCTGAAACAAAGTAAATTCATTTTCATGCTCACATTTATTGTAAATGCAAGTATAGTTTTATTTACTGATAAATTTATATAACAGAAATATGAATTAAAATTGAACTTAATTTTTATAGAAAATGTTCTTGATCACTTCCTTGCACATTGCTGAATAAAAGTTCTTTGGGTTTAAATCTTTCATTCTCCATTTAGTTTGTGATTTACAGATCCTTAAGACCAGAACAGACCATCTAATTAAGATCTTCTAGAAGAAATCATCTAATCTGATCTTCTACACAAGACAGGCTAGAGAATTTCATCTAGCTAATCCTCTATTAGCATAGAAACTTATATTTAAAAACACATCTTCCAGAAAAGCCAAAAAACATGTGCCACCATTTTGCGCTCTACTTTGCTGGGGGGTGTGGAGTGGGAGATCCCATTTAAATTCCTGAAAAAAAAAGTTTGATTGGATTTATGGATCATCTTGAGGCCAATCTTTAAGCTACATACAAAAATCAGTTACAGAGAATAGGTGTGCTTCTACCCAAATACAACTCCATACAATCGTGCACATACATACACACTACATTGGGTAACCATTAAGAGGTTTTCAAAATGGATGTCCCAGCCTGGAGGAAAAGCAGAGCAGCAGTCAGTGGTTTGCCCATGAAGCCGGGGGCCACCAACATCAGCAAGAAAAAAGCCAGTAGATGGAGGGGAGTGATCATTCCCCTCTAAACAGCACCAGAGAGACCACACATGGAGTAGTCTGCCCAATTCTGGCCTTCCTGGTACAAAAGAGATATTGACAAAGCTGAGTGAAGGCTACTGAGATGACTAAAGCCTATGTCAAATGACAAGAAGCTGAATCCCTGATATCTTACACATGAAAAACAAAGGCACAGAGACTGCATGACTACATAACATTAGCCTAAGATCACATAAGAAGGCTGGATGGGATAGAAAGTGCATCCCTGAGGCATGTTATATCTTTACCATAAGACAATGTTTCCTGTTGATGAAAGGGTAATTATAGACAGATAGCA